CTGAGTTTGCATCCCAGCTGTGTGTCTCACCTCAGTTTCCTTCTCTGTAAAATGCGGATAATAATATTACTTACCTTGAAGAGTTGCTGGGAGGAGTCCCTGTTATCCCTGTAGCATGCTGAAAATTGAGAGCACGGTGGGTGGAAGCCCATGCTAGCTTCCACTACACACAAGGTAAAGAGAAAAGGCTGTGGTTAAGAAAGCGGGCTTAGCTGGGAGTTGTGGCTCCTACGCGTAATAACCAACGTTTAGCGAGGCTGAGGCAGGAGGACTGCTTGAGGACCAGCCTGGGCAACATAATGAAACTCTCTGTCTCTACAAAAACATTTTTAAAATTAGCTAGGTGTGGTGGCACACACACATCTGTTGTCCTGCCTACTCGGGAGGCTGAGTTGGGAGCATTGCTTGGGCCCAGGAGGCGAAGGATGCAGTGAGCTATGATTGCACCACTGCACTCCAGCCTGGACAACAGAGTGAGAGCATCTTTCTCTCTGTCTCTCTCTCTCTGTCTCACACACACACACACACACACACACACACACACACAGACACACACACACACAGAACGTGGGTTCTAGATTCACACCATCTCGGAATTTAATTGCAGCTCCTCCCCTAACTTACTCTTGCTGTTAATCTCAAGCAGAACCTTTACACCAATCTAAGCCTGCTTTCTTTTAGGTAAAATGGACATAGATGGGCGTGGTAGCTCATGCCTGTAATCCCTGCACTTTGGGAGGCTGAGGCAGGTGCATTACTTGAGGTCAGGCGTTCAAGACCAGCCTGGACAACATGGTGAAACCCCTATCTCTACCAAAAAATACAAAAATCAGCTGGACGTGGTGGCACACACCTGTAGTTCCAGCTACTCAGGAGGCTGAGGTGGGAGAATCGCTTGAACCTGGGAGGCGGAAGTTGCTGAGATGGTGCCACCACCCTCCAGCCTGGGTGACAGAGCAAGACTCCATCTCAAAAAGGCATAAACACTCACAGTGTGGTTATGAGAATGGAGTTAATCTGACTGCCTAACCATGCGTAGTAGGCATCCAAGAAATGCAATTTTTTTTTTCTTTTGAGACGGAGTCTCACTCTTGTTGCTCAGGCTGGAGTGCAGTGGTGCTGTCTCAGCTCACTGCAACCTCCGCCTCCTGGGTTCAAGCGATTCTCCTGCCTCAGCCTTCTGAGTAGCTGGGATTACAGGTGTGTGCCACCATGCCTGGCTTCTTTTTTCTTTTTTTGTTTTCTTTTTTGGTATTTTTAGTACAGATGGGGTTTCACCATGTTGCCCAGGCTGGTTTTGAACTCCTGACCTCAAGTGATCTGCCTGCCTCAGCCTTCCAAAGTGCTGGGATTACAGGCATGAGTCGCTGCGCCCAGCCAAAAAAAAAATTGCAAATATTGTTACATTAGGGGCACAGAGTAGGGGTTTGCAGGTATGTCAGAATCACCTAACGAGAGTGTTAATATGCATATTCCCAGGCCCCACCTCCATCCATCCAGTTAACAAACATATACCAGGGGCCTCCTCCACACAAGGCACTGTCATAGTTGCTGGGCATTCCAGAAACAGAACGATGGTCCTCCCCTCTTCAAACTGACATTTTATTTGGGTGAGATGAACAATAAACACAAGTGAAGCAAAGCTAACGGGATAGAAAACGCCAGAGTAGGGGAGTGCGATTTTATTACATTTTAATTAATTTATGTATATATTTATTTTTTGAGATGGGATCTTGCTCTGTTGCCCAGGCTGGAGTGCAGTGGCACAGTCATGGCTCACCGCAGCCTCCACCTCCCAGGCTCAAACAATCCTCCTCTCTCAGCCTCCCAAGTAGCTGGGACTACAGGTATGCACCACCATGCCTGGCTAATTTTAAATTTTTTTTTTGTAGAGATGGGATCTCATTATGTGGCCCCAGGTTGATTTTGAACACCCGGGCTCAAGTGATTGTCTCACTTCTGCCTCCCAACGTGCTGGGATTACAGGTGTGCACCACCACACCCAGCTGACTTTTTATTTTTTGTGGAGACAGGGTCTCTGTGTGTTGACCAGGCTGGTCTTGAACTCCTGGGCTCATGTTAACCTGGGAGTGTGATTTTAAATAGGGTGGTTAGAGGAGGTCTCATAGAAAATGTGTACTTTGAGGAAAGACGAAGTTAGCAAGGAACTTTCTTTTTTTTTTTTTTTTTTTTTGAGACGGAGTCTCGCTCTGTCGCCCAGGCTGGAGTGCAGTGGCG